TTTTTTGTAGAGGCAGGGTCTTCCTATGTTGCTCAGGCTGTTCCCAAACTCCTGGCCTCAAGTGATATTCCTGCCTCAGCCTCCCAAAGTACTGGATTACAGGTGTGAACCGCGGCACCCTGCCCTTAAACTCTTAAATTTGACTATCAGTAGATAGTTGTTGACTAAAGTTAGTCTTTAAAGATGTATTTCATATTTAGAAATACTTTTAATTTGTGGCACTTTCAGGCAATATTTCATTAGTGTTATTTGCTGCATACAATCAAGGCATTTAAGAAATAAAATTAGAGAAAAAGCATCTATTATTCTACCTTCCAAAAAAATTGTATTGTTAATTTCTCACGCTTCATTCTAGGGCTTATTCTTTGTAGATAGCTTGAGAACGTAAATCTAACAGTCATTTGTTACTATTTGGCTCAAAGATTTACTGTTATTTATTGTGGTGATAAGCTTTCTTCTCTCTTAGATCCACAAAGAAACAGCAAGTCAACATGATACATTTGCTCACCAGGAAGGACTGAGGCCAGAATTGTCATGCCAGAGCCGAAGGCTGTGCAGTTCCCCTAGAGAGGAATGAGTGGTGAGAAGGAAGACATCCAGGCCCCCTCGTTCAAAGACCGTCTTCTGGGGGTCACAAAGGTGATGGGGCTCACTCTGTCCCTCTGATCCGTAGAGGGTGATGACAACCTATAATGAGACAGGGAAAGGTAAAATATAGGGAGTTTTAACATGATTCTTTGGGTTTATCCATAAGGAGAAAGATGAAGACATAGAAAACTGTATTTAGACTAAGTCTTTCAGATCTTAGACAAGCATAGAGAGCTCTTCATATGTACAGTCTTTTTTTCTGAGACGAAATCTTGCTCCGTCACCCAGACTGGAGTGCAGTGGCACAGTCTTGGCTCACTGCAACTTCCACCTCCAGAGTTGAAGCCATTCTTATGCCTCAACATCCTGTGTGGCTGGGATTACAGGCATGGGCCATCACCCTCAGTTAACTTCTGCAGTTTTAGTAGAGAAGGGGTTTTGCCATGTTGGCCAGGCTTGTTTCAAACTCCTGACCTCTGGGGACTTGCCTGCCTTGGCCTCCCAAAGTGTTGCAATTACAGGCAGGAGTCCCCTTGCCTGGCCCACATGTACAGTTTAGAACTATAAAATACCAATCTCTGATCTCTTTTTTTTTTTTTTTGAGATGGAGTCTCGCTGTGTCGCCCAGGCTGGAATGCGAGCTCTGCTTACGGTGAGCTCTGCCTACCGGGTTCAAGCTATTCTCCTGCCTCAGCCTCCTGAGTAGGTGAGATTACAAGTGCTCACCCCCATGCCCAGATAATTTTTGTATTTTTCGTAGAGACGAGGTTTCACCGCATTGATCAGGCTCTTCTCGAACTTCTGACCTCATAATCTGCCGGCCTCGGCCTCTCAAAGTTCTGGGATTATAAGCATGAGCCACCATGCCCAGCCTCTGATCTCTTTTAAAGTGCTATTGGTTGCCGGGATATCACCAACTCAGAGCGTCTCATGTGGCAGAAGACACGAAGCAATGAGGGAAGAAGAGTTATCTCATTAACCTTAGCTGTTGTAGCAGCCCTTCTTCTATATCCGGTGTAGACCTGAATCAGGTAGTGAAACTGAGCGCTGGGGTCATTATCAGCCAGGACAGTAACCTTCACCTGCAAGAAAAGCAGAACTAAGCAACATACCCGGCCTTCACTTAGTATAGCTCCTGCCTCCAGCTGAGGAGCAAGAGGAGGCAGCCCGCAGGTGTGGCAGCCCTAGAGAAAGCAGGGCGGACGTGTGGTCAGCGGACAGACACACCAGCAGACCTAAGCCACTAAAGTAGGGATGAGGCCTGAGCCTCCGGGCCTGTGCCTCTCAAGTGAAATAGTCACAGAATCAATCACCTGATCATGTCTTGGGCCTCTAAATCCTCCCACCTCCCTCCCACTCAGGTACAGTCACCACATAACAGAGAAAACCCAGCTAAATTTGCATTTCAGATAAACTATGAATGATTTGGGACATGCTTACACTAAAAACACACTATTTGTTTAAAATGCAAATTTAACTAGGTAGCCTGAATTTTTGTTTACTGACACTGAGAACCCTGAACTCAGGGCAACAAGAAATGAACATCTGGCGTATTCTAGAATTTCCACGTGCAAGAAAACATATGAAGAACATACACATGGAAAGAAGATATTGTCAAAAACAAAAATTTTTTTGAGATGGAGTCTTGCCCGGTCGCCCAGGCTGGAGTGCAGTGGCGCAAGTGAACCAAGATTGTGCCACTGCAACCTCCGACTCCTGGGTTCAGGTGATTCTCCTGCCTCAGGCTCCCGAGTAGCTGGGATTACAGGTGCCCGCCACCACGCCCAGCTAATTTTTATATTTTTAGTAGAGATGGGGTTTCACCATGTTGGCCAGGATGGTCTCAGTTTCTTGACCTCATGATGATCTGCCCACCTCGGCCTCTCAAAGTGCTGGGATTACAGGCGTGAGCCACTGCGCCCAGCCAAGGTTTTTGTTTTTATAAAGATTCCATATAGGTTTCTTGTATACTATAGTTACATTTTTACTTTTTTTTTAGACAGAGTCTTGCTATATTGACCAGGCTGGAGTGAAGTGGTGTGTTCTTGGTTCACTGCAACCTTTATCTCCCTGGTACAAGTGATCCTCCTACCCCAGCCTCCTAAGTAGCTCAGATTACAGGTGCCCATCATCATGCCTGGCTAATTTTTGTATTTTTAGTAGAGATGGGGTTTCACCATGTTGGCCAGGCTGGTCTTTAACTCTTGACCTCAAGTAATCCACCAGTCTTGGCCTCCCAAAGTGTTGGAATTACAGACATGAGCCACTTTACCTCGCCAGTTACATTAAGTTATAATTTGACTTACATATAACTTACTTTCTTTGAGACATAGTCTCATTCTGTTGGCCAGGCTGGAGTGCAGTGGCATGATCTCGATCTCGGCTCACTGCAACCTCCTTCTCCTGGGCTCAAGCAATTCTCCTGCCTCAGCCTTCCCAAGTACTTGGGATTACAGGCGTGTGCCACCACACCCGGCTAATTTTTCTATTTTTAGTAAAGACAGGGTTTCACCATGTTGGCCATGCTGGTCTTGAACTCCTGACCTCAGGTGATCCACCTGAGGTGGCCTCCCAAAGTGCTGGGATTACAGTCGTTGAGCCACTGTGCCCTGCCAACTTACATATAACTTTCATATCCAATGTATAAAGTAGGATAAAGTTGCATTTGACTGTAGTTAAGCTCTCTAGGTGTTTTCTTTTCCTTTTTTTTTTTTGGAGGCAGGGTCTCTGTTGCCCAGGCTGGAGTAAAGTGGCACAACAATAGCTCACTGCAGCCTCAAGCTCCTGGACTCAAGTGACCTTCCCACCTCAGCTACCCAAGTAGCTGGGACTACAAGGATGCACCACCACGCCAGGTTATTTATTTTTATTATTTTTTAAAATTTTCAGTAGAGACAAAGTCTTGCTATGGTGCCCAGGCTGGTCTTGAACTCCTGAGCTCAAGTGATCCTCCTGCCCTGGCCTCCCAAACTGCTAGGATTACAGTTATGAGCCACTGCACCCAGCTGGTGTTTTCTTTTGGCTCATTCCTAATCTAAAATGAGTCCCACAACTGTCCAATCTTGGATCCAGAAGAAAAAAAAGAGAAAAAGTTCTTAGGTCTTGAGACAGTGGACATGAAGATAAATTTAAGAAAATTTCACTTGAATTTCTGTGGCTCTCAGTATTGCACCACTGGCTTCTTTTGACAAAGGTATGTTTTTTCCCCATGTTATTTAACATACTCAGTATCATGGTGAAACTGCTGGACTCCAAGTCTCATTACCTTCTGCATATCTGCTTGATCTTTTCTCCAGGCCCACACAACTATGATCATGTAGAATCCTAAAAGGCTGGCCAGCAGCGACACCCCAACAGGATTGCTGGTCACATGAAGGAAGAGTATGATAGTGTCTTCAACATTCACAGTCCTGGGCACGACGAGGAAGTCGCTGGCAAAGAAGGTCAGGTGGTTACAGAGACACTGTGTCCTCAGAATTGTGCTCTGTGGCCCAACCTGGAATTAGAATCAAGGTGTTGACTCTAGTCACATAGAGTGCTAAGGACAAGCCAGACATAAACATTGGCAATTTAGAGATGAAAAGAGATGCTTAGACCTCTCACTCACTGCTGGTCATGGCATAAACTGGTATAACCAATGTGGAAAGCAATTCAGCAACACCTAGTACAGCTGAAGAAGCACCAACTCTCTGAATCCTGCATTTCTGGTTCTGAATGTATATATGCTCTAGGGGAACTTTGCACATGTGTATAAAGATCTACTAAAAGAAATGTTTTGTCACCCTTGTTTATAATTACCAAAAACAAGAAAAAACTTACACGTTTAATAACAGAACCTACAAATTAATAAATACATAAGCAGGCAGAGGAAAACTAATGGAATTCTACACAGCAGCTAAAAATGAATGAATTAGCCAGGTGTGGTGGCTCATATCTGTAATCCCAGCACTTTGGGAGGCTGAGGCAGATGGACTACCTGAGGCTAGGAGTTCAAGACCAGCCAGGACAACATGGCAAAACCCCATGTCTACCTAAAATATAAAAATTAGCCAGGTATGGTGGCGCATGCCTGTAGTCCTAGCTACTTGGGAAGCTGAGGCAGAAGAATTACTTGAATCCATGAGCAGAGTTTGCAGTGAGCTGAGATCATACCACTGCATTCCAGCCTGGGTGACAGAGCAAAACTCCATCTTCAAAAATAAATAAAAATGAACGAATTAGAGGTAGATGTATCAACACAGATAAATGCTGAGTAAATAAAACACATTAAAGAGATATGTACAGTATCGTGCTATTTACGCAACGCCTAAGAAGCATGCAAAAGACTTATCTATTCATTGTTTCCCTCTCCAGAATGTAAGTTCATGAGGATATTGTCTTGTTCACTGCTTTATCTCCAGTTCCTAGACTTGGGCATGGCATGTAGAAGATAATAAATGCTTGCTGCAAGAATGAACACCCACACAAATTCAGGCCAGTAGTTACCCTTTGGTGGAGGGGAAGGAAGGAGAGAGATTAGGGAGGGCTACACAAAGGGCTTCAATTATTCCTGAAATTTTTAAAGATAATCTGAAGCTGAGGAAAATATGAACTTTAATAAAGTTGAATGTGCATTCAGTGTTTTTTTTATATTATTTCTTATGACTTTCCGTATGTTGGAACATTTCTTCTTAATATTTAAAAAAAATGTCAGAAGGTGATTACATGGAAGCTACCAATTCTATGTTTGGTTTTGTGGATGAAAAGCCTAAAGTACTGTCATGACTACTTATTTCCATGGCACAGAGTTAAGTCCTGGAAGCCCAATCTAGTTTGCCCTTAGAAGAACTCTTGGCCGGGCGCGGTGGCTAATGCCTTTAAGCCCAGCACTTTGGGAGGCCGAGGTGGGCAGATCACCTGAGGTCACGAGTTTGAGATGACCCTGGCCCACATGGTGAAACCCGTCTCTGCTAAAAACACAAAAAATTAGCTAATGTGTGGTGGCAGGTGCCTGTAATCGCTGCTACTTGGGAGGCTGAGGCAGCAGAATTCCTTGAACCTGCGAGATCCTGCCAGTGTACTCCAGGATCTGGGAAACAAGAACGAAACTTTATCTCAAAAAAACAAACAAACAAAAACTCTCGTGCTGTACTTGGGGCAGCTCAATTCCTTTCATGGGGTCCAAGCACTTCAGAGTGCTTCAAGGAGGTGGGAAATATCCGATGCCTTCTGCAATCAGTGGGTCTGTGCTGGGGGAGGGGAAAAGCTCTCAAGCTTCTCCAAGCATGGTTTCCCTAACAAGCAACACTGGCATCAGCTGGGAGCTTGTTAGAAAGACTCTCAGGGCCTGACCAGAGCTACTGCATCAGAATCTCCTTTTTAACAAGCCCTGTTTATACATTTGCTTGATAGCCATTGTCCAGCTATGACTGCCTGAGGCTATGAATGGTACAGATTCCTTCCTAAAAATCCTCTTTCTGGCCTCCCAAAGTGCTGGTGGGACGATTGCCTGAGCCCAGATGTTCAAGACCAGCGTAGGCAACATGTTGAGACCCTGTCTGACCAAAAAATTAGCCAGGCGTGGCAGCATATGCCTTTCATCCCCACTACTTGAGAGGCTGAGGCAGGAGGATCTTTTGAGGCCGGGAAGTTGAGGCTGCAGTAAGGCGTGATCACGCCACTGCACTCCAGCCTGAGCAACACGGTGAGACCCCATCTCAAAGAAAAAAAATTCTCTTTCCTTCTCTTCCCAATCTAGATGGCACTTTCTCAGCTCTTTTAGGACAGCTTCATGCTTTGCAAGACCTTACATCACGTTCTTTGAGCTACTGAACCAGGACTTTATCAGGCGTAATCTCACAGAATCACGAGTGTGCAAATGTGATAGTGGTGTTTTAAACCAGCTGGACACCAGGAACAAGGTGATTAATTAAAAAAGTGACAACCTGTCCTCACTTGGCCTGAATTGCACAAGAATCTGAGAACATAGTTCTTTTTCCGAGCTATGAATGTTCTCTTTTGTTTAGCAACAGGCTTCATTTTACCCACCCACAACCTATTTAGGACTTGTAGAATTTTACAGCTTCCATACACTGCTTTATTTTATCCACAATGGTCAGGTCTACCCTGGACTGTTTGAGAAAGAAACTACAAAGATAAAGCACAAAGCTGCCCCCGCTCAGAAGAACCACACTCGCCCTGCCCACCATACACAACCCTGCTCCCCTTGCCCAAGCAGAGTCACTTCACACCTCCTGATGATTTTTCTTGCTGGGCTGCCCCAAATGAGATAACAGATGCATTGGGTTTAACGGCGGCTACAGCAGAAGAGAGGCCCCAGAGGCGGCTCAGTTTCTTACTTGGCATCCATGGCTGCTCCACGTCTGGTTGTGGCTGTCCCAGTAATAACACTGGGTGACGGCTGTGATGACGGAGACCAAGCTGGGCATCTGCTGAACACCCTCCTGGCTCTCTCTCAGCACAGCTGTTATGTAGTAGGTGCCAATCCCATGCTGTAGATGCTCTGGAGTCAGTACCCATATGTACTCCTCATCTTAGAACAAAGAAGAGTACTTACTTATCAAACAGGACAAAAACACCAGTAGAACCTCTCTTCTAAAGGATCAATTGTTAATATTTTACAAATGAGATCATGATAAACCTAGAGTCACAAACGATTTGAAAGAAAATGACCAGTGATACCATCCCAGGCTCCGGGTGACTGCTTTGCTCCTAAGGAATCACTGGCATGACACGGCTCAAGAGCTACGTCTTGGGCCAGGCACCGTGGCTCGTGCCTATAATCCCAGCGCTTCAGGAAGCTGAGGTGGGTGGATCACTTGAGATCAGGAGTTCGAGCCCAGCCTGGTGAATGTGGCAAAACCCCACGTCCACTAAAAGTAGAAAAATTAGTGGGGTGTGGTGATGTGGGCCTGTAATCCCAGCTACTCTGCAGGCTGAGCCAAGAAAATTGCTTGAACCTGGAGAAGTTACAGTGAGTTGAAATCACACCACTTTACTCCAGCCTGGGCAACAGAGTGAGATTTTTGTCTCAAAAAAAGACATTCTTTTGGTATGTGATCATTTAGGTCTAATGATTTAGAATGTATTATGAGGTTTACAAAAATGAAATGATCACACACCTGTTAGCAGATGGAAGACTAAGGTAACAAGAGAAACCCCAGGGTGAAGCAAAGACAGAGATAGGGTGGCTCCAGGAACAAAGCCCAGGTTGGCACGCCAGGGACCTGAGGTCAGGCCTGGCTCTGTCACCAGCTGGCTGGTAGGGGATAAGGCCAGTCACCCGGTCTCTCTGGGCCTCAGCTTTCTCATCTTTCAAAGAGTCCTGTTTCTCAAACAAAGGCTCTCAAAGGCCCCTTCCCACTCTGAATGACAAGATATCATTGCCAAGATCAGCAAGAAAAACTGAGTGCATGGCCAGGCGCAGTGGCTCACACCTGTCATCCAAGGACTTTGGGAGGCTAAGGCAGGAGGATCTCTTGAGCCCAGGAGTTCGAGACCAGCTTGGCCAACATGGCAAAACCCTGTCTCTACTAATAATACAGAAAATTAGTCCTCCCAGCAGTCCCAAATGCTTGGGAGGCTGAGGCATGAGAATCACTTGAACCTGGGAGGCTCAGCCTGCAGGGAGCCTGGGCGACAGAGTGAGACTCCACCTCAAAACAAAAACAAAAACAAAACCGAATGCACCCTTGGAATCGGAAAAGGGCCCGTTGGAAAGTCACACAAACTCTGCAGTGGGCAGCCTGGCAGTGAGCATTGCTGACTCAGGGGCTTTGCCTAAAAGAAAGAACTTAAAAGTGATTGTTCCTGTTGAGAGGGGCCCATGTTCGAACCAGAGAAAGTTCTTTGAACACAGAAAGTGGTCTTGATGGGAGACTGTAGCATGCTTTCTCCACTTGCAATTTTCCCAATGTAAAAATAAACACAAAGTGTAGCTCTCATTAAGACTTTTCACTACTACATTTGAAGTAGACACTCACAGAGCATGTTTTTGATCAAATATATCTAAGCACTATTTATATATATCAGGAATTTTTATTTTTCATTTTTGAGACAGTGTCTTGCTCTGTTACCAAGGCTGGAGTGCAGTGGTATGAGCCAAATTCACTGCAGTTTTCAACTCCTTGCCTCAAGCAATCCTCTTGCCTGAACCTCCCAAGTAGCTAGGACTACAGGTGCACATCCCTACACCCAGCTTTTTTTTTTTTTTTTTTTTAAACTTTTTTTGTAGAGACAGTCTTGCTATGTTGCCCAGGCTGGTCTCAACCTCCTGGCCTTAAGTGATCCTCCTGCCTTGGCCTCTCAAACTGCTGGCATTATAGGCATGAGCCACTACACCAGGCCAGATATTTTTAACTGTAATGTTATGTCTCAGAAATTTTTAACTTTTAAAAACTACAGTATAGTCATCCACTGAGATATCATCAGGCCTTTCTTCCTCAAACCTAAGATAAGAAACAAAGTTGAAGTCTATGGCTGTACCACCCTGAATGTGCCTGATCCTGGAAGCTAAGCAGGGATGGGTCTGGTTATTACTTGGATGGGAGACTGCCTGGGAATACTGGGTGCTGTAGGCATTAAAAAATAATAATAATAAAGTTGAAATACATATGATGTATTTTGTATACACTCATCTACAATATATAAATGTGAAGTACATGTAACCCACGGTGCTGTGAACCTTACTTCTGCTGTGGGTCTCAACTTATTATGAAAATCTTCAACCATACAGAAAGAACTTTACAGGGAATAACCATATGAACACTAACTAGATTCTACAATTAACATCTTACTAAATCTGCTTCCTCACATATTTATCCTTATCCATCCAATAATCAATCTTTTAAAAAAAATGCATTTCATGGTCACATGTATCTACACATGTGGTAAAATCACGCAGACATACAGATACACACACATACAGAAATGTGCTTGTAAACCTGGTGAAATCTGCATAAAATCAGTGCAGCGTATTAATGTGATTTTCTGGTTGTGATTGACTATAGTTATACAAGATGCTGCCATTCAGAGAAGCTGGAGGAAAGGTATACAAGCCGTTGCTGTTGTTCTTTTTTTTTTTTCCAACTTTTTTTTTTTTTTTTTTTTTTTTTTTTTTTTTTTTTTTTT